CACTTACTCGCAATGAACTTAAAGTTTTGTGAGCGAGTGCAAATTTTGAGTGAATGCGAAAGAGAACGCAAAAGCATTGAAATATATTTTTTCTATTTTTGAAATTCATTTTTCCATCACCATGTCCTTTTAGAATAAAGAAAAGTCAATTAATAAAATCTTAAAACTCCATGGGCATTTTTATGATGAATATACTATAATGTTGTCCCAAACCTTCATCATCATGATTGTCATTGAGAAATGTCTTAAATTTCAGGCTGTTCTTCTAGAAAAGCAATCACTATATGCTTTCATTGTATTGAAAATAACAACTTGGACATTCTTCTAAACTTGTTCCACAGAAGACAAAAAGTCATACAGGTTGGGATTGGGAACAACCTGGATATGATGACAGAATTGTCTTTTTTTGGGGGTGAACTAACCCTTTAAACACCCCAGGGATAATGGTTTGGCTCAGATTTTGATTCTAGTAATTATGCTTCACGGTCTCTTCAGCTGTCGGCCCAGATTTTTAGCTGCCAGGAAAACCTTACAAACACTAAAGCAGTAGATAAAGATCTGTGTTTCTGTGTGCAGAGAACGAGGAGACGGAGGGCAGCGAGGGTCAGGCGGAGTATCTGTTTGGAGATGCTGAACTTGATGATGATGATCTCTACAGCATGGAACACGATAACCAGGCAGGTCAGTCAACACCTCAACACATCTCACAGCTCCGTGATATATAAAGAGAAAAAAACAAGATTTGGGTCTCTCCAGCCGAGGAGCCCGAGTACCTGCTCCCTCAGGAGGCGTTCCCGTTACGCCACGAGATCATGGACCATCCCTCGGCCCCGGAGCCGGTGCAGGAGAAGCCCGAGTCGCCCCACGTGAGCGGCAGCGAGGCCGAGAGCATGTGCCTGACTCCCATGGAGTCCATCAGCCTCATTTCTGTCTCGCAGCTGCTTTTCTCGCCCCACCTGCCGCCCAAGTTCTTCTGCCCCATTGTGAAGGAGATGCTGTGTTACTACGCCGAGCAGGGCGACGTGCAGATGGCCGTGTCTGTGCTGATCGTGCTGGGAGATCGCATCCGTAAGGAGATCGACGAGCTCACACAGGTGAGGCCGAGCGTGTTTAAGAACTTCCAGTCAAGTCAAAATTTATTTCTATAACAAAGCAACAGAGTGATGTACAATAAAACATTGAGCATATAAAAAGAAAGCATAAAAAGAAACTATATAAGCATTTTTTTTTTAAACTTGAAGAAACTGTAGATTTCTTCATTGCATGCCTCTCTGAAATGCTTCATTCTGATTGGTCAGTCGCGACATTCCGAGATCAGTTATTCCCTAATAATGTTCCTCGTCAATAGCTGTATAATCACTGCTCATCCGGGAATTTGAGGCCGCCGCTTCTTCCGTGTCTTTCGTATTATACCCATATGCGTTTTTCCATTCCACTGCGCTACTTTTCCATTGTTTTCTATGCAAACACACTAGACGGCCATGTTTAACCATTGAGCACAGGTCACATGTTCAGTTTAACTTCCCTGCAACTTGTGCAGCTGCAAAAGGGTTCAGCGGGAAAGAAATGTTGACTTACGGTAGTATATTGTTGAAGTGTTTGTCTAGTTGCTAAAATGATTTTTGTACACTACAATGGATTATAAGATAATAAACAGGAAAAAAAAATGTCTTCTCAAAGCAATATTTCATGTCCCTGTCATTATTTATGTAATGGAAATCTGTGTAAGTGATACAACGGTACGTCATATCTTAAAGTCAGCAGAAAACGGAAGTTGCGATAGTCTTTTCTTCCCTGTTGTGACGTATATGCGAGTGAAACCATAGATATCCATAATAAAGGCTAGATGTCTTACGGCGGAGTCTCTATCGTCATCACCGGTGGCCATCTTGTCACAGACAAGCTTTCTGGTGGGCTCTGTGGTGCCTGATGTAAGATGAGTGATCAGCACGAACACAAATAATCTTATCTCGCTGAAATCTTGACGGATTTACAAACGGTTTGGTTTCTTACAAACGTTATTAACGTGGCTATAATTCTGGATGATTATTTATTGATACACTTATTATTCATAAGTATGCAGTGTCATAACTACATCTCTGACGTTTATAACAAACCAAACTGTTTGAAAATCGGTAGAAAATTGAGCAAGTTATGGTTATTTAAAAAGTACATGCACCAATAAAACACAATGTTACGAGTGAGCGAGCTGCCTGTGACAAGATGGCCGCCAGGTGCGGACGTCGACCTCCATTGGCCAGCAGCGCGGACGAGACATCTAGCCTTTGTTATGGATATCTATGAGTGAAACTGCTACAAAAAAAGTAGGGCGGGACTTGATTGGATGGTTGTGGTTTGCTATTGGTTGATCTCCTTTGAGTATCAGGTTGTCCCGCCCTCACGCCAGTAAACACGACGTCAGAGAAGAGATGTTGCTGCTTTTAATCTTTGATTAAAGATTACATTAATTTAAAAACAATAATGATGCACACAGATAAATCATTTACAATAAATAATGCAATATTCCATTTGAAAAAAATAAGAATTGTCCATTTTGATTCATGGTAACCTTAAATGTCCGTCTTGATTGAAGCTGCTTGCAATAACAACAGCTGGATGTACATGATCCCTTACTGGTGTGATGTTTACTCAGTGTGTTTGTGTGTGTTTCAGGAACACTGGTACATGTCCTACATCGATCTGCTGCAGCGGTTCGAGCTGTGGAACGTCAGCAACGAGGTGATCAAACTGAGCACGTGCGGCCCCATCATGTGTCTAAATCAAACCTCCACCACTTTACACATCAACTGCAGCAACTGCAAGCGACCAATGAGCAACAAGGGCTGGATTTGTGACAGGTACGGCCTCCAAGCTCTGACTTTTATCTGTCTTTCCCCTTATCAAATTCAAAATCATTTAGTTCAAGTTCATTGGTTTATCTAATGTACCGTTTAACACCAGAGCTCATACGTTTATTAGTGTTTAAAGGTGCCTTTGTTTTCTCTGGCCTTTCAATATTTATCGAAATTGTTATATTGTGTTATGTATATATAGTTTTTTGTACAGTTGTACTGTAAATATGTTTTTTTTGTATTGTTAACTATAACGTAAAACGTAAAAATCATATTCATTAATTGAAATAAAATAAACATTAACTAGACATATTTTTCTTTAAAAAATCTAATAAAAAACTTCTTCTTTTTTTAAAATACACAACAAAATTACTAAAACCTTTACCAAAATTAAAATTAAAACTGAAAATATAAAATAAAATTTAATTTAAAATATTTACAAAAACTATAATAGTATACCAATATATCGATATTAGCACTTTGGGTTTTCAGTGTAGTTTAAAAGTGGTTTATAAATAAATAAAATGAATATTTTAAATTGTAATTATAATACATTTAATTTGTAAATAAATATACATTATTACAAATATATGTATTGTTATTTATTTATGATTATATAATTTACTACTTAATTATATTTACTTTATATAAAAATAAAAAAAACATTTGGAAAAATGGCAACAACAAAAAAAGCCTATATATAATTTTGCAAAATTTCCAAATGATATTTTAATGTATCATTTAAAATAAAAATAAATGGAATAAAATTAAATAATAAATTATATGATAGTAAATAAATTATAATAACTACATTTATAATAATGTATAATTATAATGTAAATGTATTTATTTATCATTTTAATTTGAAATTAAATATATTCATTGTATTTATTTACAAAGTGGACCCAAAGGGTGTGTATATGTATGTGTGTGTGTGTATATATATATATATATATATATAATGTTTTTTATATATAATATTTTGTTGTGTATTGTAGGTGCCACCAGTGTGCGAGTGTGTGTGCGGTGTGCCATCACGTGGTCAAAGGCTTGTTTGTGTGGTGTCAAGGCTGCAGTCACGGAGGACACCTGGAACATGTGATGGAGTGGCTGAAACAGTCGAAACACTGTCCGGCCGGTTGTGGACACCTGTGTGAATACACCTGACACCACACACACCTGACGTCAAACACTGGACACTCGAAACACAGGACCAATCAAGCTGCTACTTCCAGGGGAAAATAACCATAACTAATGATCTGATGATAATCAAACATATAAGGGAATCTGTTCACTCGAATGTGTGCTAAAACAATCAGTTAGCTTTTTAAGTTTTTGGAGATTTTGTTTTATAAATACAATCTAATGTATGTAATTGAATTACACTCAAGATGCACTTGGCTTTGGGAATATGATTCATTCACATTGAAAATACTCTGTGTAATGAACAACACAGTATAAGAAGCAATAAAGCCAGTCTTTGCTAGTCATCTGTGCGATTCTGTGAACATGAAGACTTTAAAAGTGACTTTCTTTGGCAGAATGTGATCTGAATCTTAGCTGACTATATAAAACAGCAAAAAAGATGTTTTGTTTTTTTGCAGATGCCATTTGCTTTCATATTTTGTTATGCAATGAATCCTAGATGTTTTACAGAACTGACTTCCCCTCCTCAGATGTTTAGTGTCTGTGTGTTTTGTCTCAGGTAAGTGTTTTCTCTTTAATGATGTTCTTCCAAACAGTTTGATGCTCATGCAAAGACTATGCGATATGTCCTACAGATTTAAATGCTTTATTTCCAGACTCGATTTATGTACAATAATGTGACAATTACAAAACAGACTTTTTCATAACTGAGAAATAATGACAAACAAACTGATTTACATTTAAAAAATGATCATATAAAATTGATATTCAGAGTATTTTTACACATTTTAAAGACAATAAGCTCTTTTGAAATATAAAACTGACAGTAGCTCCAGCAATACAACCATAAACCTGGATGTGCAGCTGTGGCCTTATTCATGAAACACCAGCTAAATTCATTTCTGTGCATTTTTGTATTGAATTGAACTGAATATGGCAGGTCGAGACCCAATGAGTGTATTTAGAGGATATATATAATAAGATTAGACAAAGAATTGAGAGTACAGATAATCTGTGGTTTGATTTATGAAAAAAAAGAAGACATTATTAGGCTTTAAATAGGCATAAAACAAATCTAATCAAGAGGTTTGATTGGTTGTACAGCAATAAACAGTGCCTGTGCTTGCAGTGTCCACACATGTATTTCTCTGTTATTCACACTGAATTCCTCACAGATTCAGATTCCCTGGCTCCGCCCTGTCCGACACAGCTCTGTCTGTGATTGGTCAGTTCTCATGATGCAGTTATGTACCATGTGACTGGAGCACAGGTGAGAGTCTCTTCGCCTGCTTGTCATTTTTGGCCACTCTGCTCATGGTCTTTGCTCCTCGTTCGGCCTGTCATCTCCGTCCGAACTCATGTCACACTGGACCGACACGAGTTGTTCTCTCAGGCCCGTTCCTGTGGCCGTGTGTGTGTGTGTGTGTGTTCAGGGTGGTTTTTCACCCTCCGTCAGTAAAAGTGAGTGTCCTGTGAGGATAAACAGATCAGTTAGAAAATTATTCAGAAAAAAAATCTTCTAAAAGTTTGTACGATTTCTTTATATTTTTTATATATTTTCTAATGTTCAAGGCAGCATTTATTTGATCAAAAATACAGAAAAAAAAAAATGAAATATTATTACAATTTAAAATAAGTGTTTCCTATTTACATGTATTTTAAAATGTAATTTATTCCTGTGATCAAAGCTGAATTTTCAGCATCATTACTCCAGTCTTCAGTGTCACATGATCCTTCACAAATCACTCTTATATGATGATTTGCTGCTCAAGAAACATTTTTTTTTTTTATTCTTTGATGAATAGAAAGTTCAAAAGAACAGCATTTATTTGAAATAGAAATCTTTTGTAACGCATGTCTTTACTTTCACTTTTGATCAACTTAATGCATTCTTGCTGAATAAGTATTCATTTCTTAATCTTGTAGGAATACTGTCAAAACAGTTTGAGTACACTTGCCCCATTGTTTTGCTTCATAGAAATGTTTATGCACACATAATGTTGATTGAGGCTGTGTGGTGTGTGTGTGTGTGTGTGTGTGAGAGAGAGAGAGAAACTGACCCATTGGCAGCCACTAGGATTCTTCCCAGTTGTGTGTGTTTTTCTCTGAAGCGCTCAGACGCTGGAGACTGTGGAGAACTTCCTTCAGACTGTCAGCTGGACAGAGACACACAATATGAATACACACGTCCATGTGAAGGAAACACACACACACACACACACACACACACACACACACACACACACACACACACACGCAGAAGTCTTACCGAGCTCTGCCATATGAGACTCCATGTTAGACAGCAGCTGAGAGCACATTAACCCGTCGCCTACGACACACACATCACAGCAGTTATTAAAACACTGAGGTGAAAACAGCCTCAAAGACTTCAGACAACATGCCGCTTCTGTTAGACTGCTAATCTACAGCTCAACAGTCTGCTCACACAAAATGCCATTCAAATCTCTATTTTTAAAAAATGATCCAATTCTCACTATTAACTACGACTTTTGCCTCAAACTCCTAATTACTGCTTATTAATAGTTAGTCAGGTAGTTGTTAAGTTTAGGTATTGGCTAGGATTAGGGATGTAGAATATGGTCATGCAGAATAAGGCATTAATATGTGCTTTATAAAGTACTAATAAACAGCCAATATCCTAGTAATATGCATGCTAATAAACAACTAGTTAATAGTGAGAATTGGACCCTGATTTAAAGTCTTACCAAAAAACTTTAAAGATGGATCAAGCATGAGATGCATGTAGCAACTGATAATATGCTTCTGTGGTTTGGAGTTAATATTGTGTCTTTATTGTTTATCCAATTATTATTTATTTATTTTTTGCAAGCAAAACCACCAATGATTTCCCTCCTTTTTTTTCATTTGCAAAATAATTTACATGAAAATAGTTTCTCAGTCAAAACTCTAGCAGGCCATTAACAATATCAATAAATATTTTTATTTATTTATATATAAATAACAAAACAAAATAATCAGTAGTTTTGCATGCAAATATTTTTTGCATACTTCATACTCTATAAAATCATAAGTTGGTGTGATTTCAATAACATTTTTACAACTGTTTAGATGGCATTATTCGCAATGCCTTCTGGGAAGTAGTTAGTGAGTTTCCTCAGGTTCTGCACACCTTTCCCCGCCGCTCGAGTGTCTTCCTGCGTGAGCAGTGTGTGAGTGTTGCGTAGAGTGTGTAGTTTCCCGCTCAGCGTCTGAACGCGCTGTGTGTTCTCCTGCAGCTCTGCCTGAACACTCTTCCACGACATCTTCTCCTCCATCAGACATCCCTCCATCACGGCACGCAGCTCCTTCTCCTGAGACACCTGAGCCTGTAGAGACTCCACCTCCACACATTGCTACACACACACACACACACAATAACTAAAGCAAACTTGCAGTTATTATGTGATAAACCTATGGCACTGTTTGCCACAAATTGTTGCCAGAACAGCGTTTTTGTATGCATGGCAACCTTTGATCTTAACGTGTTTCAATGGATATATTTTATAGCATGTTTGTTTTATTGTGACCTGTTACACAACTAAATGAATATAAAGTACAGTTATGCTCTAAATGTTTAAAGGCAGTTAAAACCATATAAACAATACGGTTATAAGAAGAAGCTACCTGAACCCTCCCTGTTAACATGTAACAATTATAACATTGCTTTGTGAAATAAAAGGTCAACAAGTGCACTACAGGACAGAAGCTTGTCACTGCATTCAAAGACTCACAATCTCGGTTTACACACTGTTGATGTTACAGTGCATCAAATAATAGCAAGCTAGGTGCAAATTACAAGACGATTTTAATTCTCATTACTGGCAGAATCTACGGCCCTAAAAGCATGCAAATGAGCTCTATGAAGTAAACATCATGCCAGTGTTGCTTTATAGTAATAGTATATACAGAAGTATCTTGAATGAGCTTTTATTGTTATATTTTAAAGGTGCTGTATGTAATATTGACAGCTAGTGGTTAAAATGGATACTGAGATACTGAGCAACTGAGTCCAAATTCAGTTGCTTTTTATGTTTTTGTATATATATACTTCTAATTAGCTTTAATTTATATTAATTTCAGTATCATTAATTTTAGTACTACAACTTTTTAAAGTTTCATTTATATTAATATTTTAATATTTGAATAGCTTTATTTAAACTATTTTTGTAGTTTTAGTTACCATAGCAATGGCTCATGTGAAAGGAAGTGATGCGGGCAGTACCTTATGAAGCTGAATGGCCATTTCCTGCATCTCGGCCTCCAGTTGGTCGGCGTACGCCTGCTCTAACGCATCACTGGGTGGCCGGGCGTTACTATGCCAACGGGCTATTGCTGATGTCATCTTCCTCTTAGGACCAAATAGACTATGAAAAAAAAAGCGCAACTAGTAAACAACTAGTTTTAATAAAATAACAATTAATCTGAATAAACCAGATACATTTTTATTACGATAAAATATATTTAATAAAATTAAATGAGATACAATACATTAACAAAATATTAAATAATTAAATTACATTTTTACTATAATAAAATAAGTTATTTTTTATTAAATTAAATAAATCAGATAAAATTTTAATCAAATGATTAAAAAAAAACCCAATACAATAAAATCAAATACATTGTAATAGAATAAAAAAATTAGTAAAGTTCAATCCATCCATCCCTTCTCTAAACCATTTGTCCCATGTAGGAACATGGGGATGCTGGAATAAATAAATAAATAAAAGAATAAATTAAATAAATAATAATAATATAAAAATAAATGCTGAATCTGTGAAGGCAGACTCACGTGATGCCGACTTCCTTGAGGTCGTTCTCCGTGAGTGTGAGGAAGATCCTCAGGTCGATGTCTTGCTCCTCCAGCAGGGGGAGGTACTTACTGAACCCGATCTGCTCCAGAAACTCTGCTAGATCCTGTGACACACACACACACTTCACTGGTGCATCTGAGGTCAGGAACACATCGCTATATAACACCCACACAAGTCAAGTCAAGTCAAATATATTTATATAGCACTTTTCACAATACAGATTGTATCAAAGCTGCTTCACAGTATCAATCAAAACAACTTAACAGTGTTTGTTTATTACTGGAAAAAGACATCCAAGTTTGGTAGAGCGGATCAGTGGTATGATGGGTCATTTAATTTGAATATCCCCAACTGAGCAAGCCAAAGCCAACAGTGGCAAGGAACCGAAAAACTCCATCAAGTGACCCGATGGTGTCCTAAAACTCCATCAGATGACCCAATGGAGAAACAAAGAAACCTTGGGAGAACCCAGGCTCAGTCAGGGCCAGTTCTCCTCTGGCGTTTATGAAGTAGAGGCCGAATTTACAGTAACTGTAAGATAAAATGTCTATGAATGCCTGGCTAAATAGATGCGTCTTTAGTCTAGTTTTAAACTGGGAGAGCGAGTCTGAGCAACGAACAATATCAGGAAGGCTATTCCAGAGCTTCGGAGCTAAATGTGAAAATCCTCTCCCTCCTTTGGTGGATCTGGATATCCTAGGAATGACCAGAAGCCTCGAATTTAGTGATCTTAAAGAGCGCGATGGATTATAGGGCGATAGAAGATCCGTTAAATAGACTGGAGCTAAACCATTCAGAGCTTTATAAGTCAAAAGCAAGACCTTGTTATTAATACGGAGCTTTATAGGTAACCAATGAAGTGATGATAGAATCGGTGTTATATGATCATATTTACACACACACACACACACACACACACCTTGGGTCCAGTGTATGAAGGAGGAGGTCCAGAGGAAGACGGCGCCTCACGGTCTCCTGAGCTGTTATGGGGAATCCTGCCTTTGGAGTGCTGGAGTTTGTTGGGTCGACGTGGACAGCTCCTCTTTGCTTGATCAGAGTCCTGCAAACATGACCGAGACGTTAAGTGAACAGTTTGTCGGAGATGCGTGTTGTGATCTACAGCGATGCATGATGGATCCGACCTCGTTGCTCTCCAGCGACGCCTCTCTGCTGAGGCCGAGGAGATGAGACAAGCCTTCACTGCTGCTGCTGCTGCTCCTCACGGTGGGCATGTCGTTATCAAAGATCAGCTCGTCTACACAAACAGTGGGAACAGAATCACACTATAGCGGATGCATCGGGGGGAGTGATGGCTGAACCGCTCACCTCTACTGCTGTTGCTCTGGCCGTCGAGCTCGTTGATGGGGGAAGTGACGTCACGATTGCAGATGCCCTCGCTCTGATCGCCAGCTTCACGTGAGGTCATGTATCCGGTCACAGGAACCTCTGCAATGAAAGAACATTTGCACACTACCGTTTGTTTTTGAAAGAGGTCTCTTCTGCTCACCAAGGCTGTTTTCTATTTGAATGTATTTTAAAAGGTTATTTATTATTTACATTATTTATTCCTGTGATCAAAGCTGAATTTTCAGCATCATTACTCCAGTGTTCAGTGTCACATGATCCTTCAGGAATCACTCTAATATGAGGATTTGATGCTCAAGAAACATTTCTGATTATTATCAATGCTGTGCTGATTCATATTTTTGTGGAAACTGATTTTTTTTTCAGGATTCGTTGTTTAAAAGACCCCGAACTTTTAAACGGCAGTTTAACACTAGTTTTTAAGAAATTAATATTTTTGTTTAGCAAGGATGCGTTAAATTGATCAAAAGCGGGAGTAAAGATTTCTGTTTGAAATAAATGCTGTTCTTTTGAACTTTTAATCCTATTCATCAAATAATCCTGAAAGAAAATGTATCACGGTTTCCAGCAACATATGAAGCAGCGCAACAGTTTTCAACATTGATAATAATCATAAATGCTTATTGAGAAGCAAATCAGCATATTAGAATGATTTCTGAAGTAATCATGGGGTAATGATGCAGAAAATTCAGCTTTACATCACAGGAATAAATGACATTTTAACATATATTCAAATAGAAAACAGTTCTTTTAAATGGTAATAATATTTCACATTACTTTTTTGATCAAATAAATGCAGTGAGCAGGAGGCGTCAAAATCTTACCGAGCCCAAACTTTTGAGCACATATATATTGTGAGTACCGTGTTTGGGGCCGACTCTGAAGCGCGCGATGGCTTGAGGGCCGTCGTGAATGCTGGGTCCTCTGGTTCTACTGCGAGCTGACCGGACTCGAGGACTCGAACTTTCTTCTTCAGAGGAACTCAGCTCCTCATACTGAGCTACAGAGAGAGATTAGGTTGTGTTATTCTCTGCATGTATGATAAAAAAGGAAGATTACAAACGCTAAGGTGTGTGACTGACATGATTTGGCTCTCATGACGTGCATGTCGATGAGGCTGGCGATTTTAGTGTGTCCGTACAACATAGCCAGAGCTCTCGCCGTTTCTCCCTTGATGTTCCTCTCCTCCGTTCGTACGCCCTGAATCGTACACAGAATCAAGAATACTGAAAAACATACATGCATTTATTATATTAATATAAGGGGTGTAAATATATGCTCTTACATCATTTAGTACAGACTCATAACTGAATTGTTGTGAGATCATGAAAGAAGAAATTCGGTCACAATTTG